CACAGTGCAACTGGTGCAGCCCCCACAGTGCAACTGGTGCAGCCCCCACAGTGCAACTGGTGCAGCCCCCGCTCCACTGGTCCTGTGAAAGTTTGGGACAGCATGAAGTGAGTGAGGCCACACCGGCTGAACGCTGCAGCTCCACACTGGACTTGTTCCTGGGTCAGAGGTTCTGCTTCACGCTGTGTGATGAACACCTCCACAAGCTGCTCTCACTGTCCTTCAGCCAGACACCACCTTCTGCTTCAGTCAGACACCACCTTCTGCTTCAGAGAGTCTGAAGGAGTCTGCACCACAGCTGTGACGTGCACTGTTCTTACAACAAGACCTTCCATCATCTCATGTGACGAACTGAAAGTATTTTAGATGCTATGAACAATAACTAAAGTCCTCACTTGTCCCCTCCACCTCCAGCTCCATGGCCCCCTCCACCTCCACCTCCCTGCTCCGTGGCCCCCTCCACCTCCCTGCTCCGTGGCCCCCTCCACCTCCAGCTCCGTGGCCCCCTCCACCTCCACCTCCCTGCTCAGAGGAAACGTGGTCCAGTAAACGATGTGGAAAAATAATTTCTCTGTTGCAGAACAACAAGTTGTTGTTGTTTGTTTTTGGTCAGACGTGTCGTAGTCAACAAGGACAGTGTTGTACCATTAAGAAGTTTGTAGAATGCTTACTGGTTCCTCTGGTTTATGAACATGGCTGGTTCTGAGTCAGGGCAGCCTGTTGATGGTGCCGAGGACACTTCATGAAGAGTAGAAGGTCCAACCTGATGCAGCTCATGGAGCTCAGTGAAAGAAACGAAGAGTCGCGTCTGACGGATAATCTGAGCTTAAAGGTCGTCAGTGTTGTCCCTTTGATTCACTCCATACTGGTTTTATACTGGTTTCATACTGGTTTTTGAGTTCTAGAACTGCTCCGCTCCAGGTGGCTGCATGTTGGAGCAGCTCTGTTTCATTCTGAGATTTTACTTTTGGAAACTTTAATTCCTCTTTTTCTGGATGTAAATCACATTTTCTGGATGATTGTTTCCTCTGGTATCAGATGCTGTGCAGCTGGAAGGATTTTTACTGAAACTTTTTTAGTTTTGGACATTTGTTATGATGCGTAACCATGGCAACAAGGCAGTTTCTACAACAACAGCAGCTGATTAACATCTCAAAAGCTCAAATAATATCTCAACTACAGCCCCAAATCGCAAATGAGTTGAAAGGATGTTCTGTGGATGCATTCTCATCTACCTGCCAGCTGTGCTCGAGTGCCTGACCACTGAGATCCTGGAACTAGCAGGAAACACGGCTCATGACAGCAGAAGGACAGGATCGTCCCTCAGCACCTACAGTTGGCTGTCCGCAGTGACGAGGAGCTCGACAGCTGCTGGGAGGAGTTCTGCTCTGCATTCGGGCGGTCCTACAGCTCGGGGGGAACCTAGAGGCCAGGTGAGTCTGGGTGGACGGATCAGACGGCATCTGCAGCCAGTTTCTTAGGATCCACTGTGGGATGGACCTTTACAAGAGATCCTTCCTGTCTACAGCATCAGCATCTATAACATCTCTTAATGAAATGAGGATAACGAGTTACAGCAACAAATAATTAATCTCGGATTAATAAAGTATTTTTGAATTGAATTGAATCTTATGTTTTATTAATCCTCAGGAAAATGCACCGTGAATGACGTGTAGGGGGTTGCACCAAATGGACTGTTTGATGCAGACCTGACCGCAGGTGGTCTCCACCCTGACATGCCTGGCTGCAGGTGGTCTCCACCCTGACATGCCTGGCTGCAGGTGGTCTCCACCCTGACATACCTGGCCGCAGGTGGTCTCCACCCTGACATACCTGGCCGCAGGTGGTCTCCACCCTGACATGCCTGGCCGCAGGTGGTCTCCACCCTGACATGCCTGGCCGCAGGTGGTCTCCACCCTGACATACCTGGCTGCAGGTGGTCTCCACTCCGACATACCTGACCGCAGGTGGTCTCCACCCTGACATGCCTGGCTGCAGGTGGTCTCCACTCCGACATACCTGGCCGCAGGTGGTCTCCACCCTGACATGCCTGGCCGCAGGTGGTCTCCACCCTGACATGCCTGGCTGCAGGTGGTCTCCACCCTGACATGCCTGGCTGCAGGTGGTCTCCACCCTGACATACCTGACCGCAGGTGGTCTCCACCCTGACATACCTGGCTGCAGGTGGTCTCCACCCGGTGCACCCCGTGGGAGAAATCATCAGATTTGGTGATGGACTCGTCTTTCAGGAGGTCGAAGAAGGACGGCCAGCCTGAAACACAAAGGTACACCATGTTGGAGATGTGGAACTTCTCACCACCATCAGTCACTGTATGAAACCGCAGCCGCCATCTTTGTTTTCATGGTTCACACTTTTTGAATCCACTGAAAGATTAAAGGCCTAACATTCCTACAGGCCTGCACATCTGGCGCCATGACTTCAGGCTTTGGTCTTTTGATGTTGGCATTGATGCCGTTGGCGTCACGGTCACTGTGGAACCTCGTTGAGCGTCAAGAGTATGACTTGTGCTGTGAATGACTCGGCTACCATCAGCCCAACGTTAGCTAAATAACAAAAAGGTTCAATCATCTCATCTGGACCAGTTTCGTCCTCCATCCAGAGGACTTCCTCAGTCTACAGTGTGCCAGCTTCACTGGTGTGTTTGAAGACAACCTCCTGCTAAGCTTCCACCACGGGCACAACAACCATGTTTTAGTCCAGGTGACCAACTTGCTATTCACAGAAACGTCCTGACAACAAACTGGTTTTTGTTGCAGCTCCCTGGATGACTGAGCCTACAAACCTTTTCTCTGTTAGCTAAATATCTGTGTGACTCATTTTGTGTTTGATAAGGTTACTGAACGAATATCTTGGATTGTAGACCAATAAACATTTCTAATCTGTCCAGAGCTTCTTGAGATATTTTACTGACACACTGAGTTTAGTGAAAGTTGGTGTTGGCACAGACAGGTTGCATTTAAAGACGAAGCTGAATGTTGTCGACGTGTAAAAAGCAGAACTGACCTGAGCCGGAGTCGAACTTGAACTTTGAGCTGAGGAAAGAAACAAAGGCTTCAGAGAGGGGGCGGAGCTTCACACAAACTTTATTATTCATTACAAACATGTGACCGTCTGCAGGTTCATGACATCACAAGATGAGCTGCAGCCAAAGCTCACAGCAGCCAAAGCTCACAGCAGCCAAAGCTCACAGCAGCTAAAGCCTCACAGCTAAAGCTCACAGCAGCCAAAGCTCACAGCAGCCAAAGCTCACAGCAGCTAAAGCCTCACAGCTAAAGCTCACAGCAGCCAAAGCTCACAGCAGCTAAAAGCTCAGCAGCTAAAAACTCACAGCAGCTAAAAGCTCACAGCAGCTAAAGCTCACAGCAGTTAAAAGCTCACAGCAGCTAAAAACTCACAGCAGCTAAAAGCTCACAGCAGCTAAAAACTCACAGCAGCTAAAAGCTCACAGCAGCTAAAGCTCACAGCAGCTAAAAACTCACAGCAACTAAAAGCTCACAGCAGCCAAAGCTCACAGCAGCTAAAAGCTCAGCAGCTAAAGCTCACAGCAGCCAAAGCTCACAGCAGCTAAAAGCTCACAGCAGCCAAAGCTCACAGCAGCTAAAGCTCACAGCAGCTAAAAGCTCACAGCAGCCAAAGCTCACAGCAGCCAAAGCTCACAGCAGCTAAAGCTCACAGCAGCTAAAAACTCACAGCAGCTAAAAACTCACAGCAGCTAAAAACTCACAGCAGCTA